ATAATGTATATATGTATATATAATGTATATATGTATATATAATGTATGTATGTATATATAATGTATATATGTATATATATGCATATATTCATATATTTGGCTTTATTTGGCACGATATTTGGCTTCATTTGGCACGATATTTAATTTTATTTGGCGCGTAAGTATTTTGACGGAGTGTATCAGCTACGAAGGTCGTCCACGAAGCTGGTAGTCAGAAATAAAACCAAGCAAATACGAGGCTGGACCACCCTCTAGCTTGCGGACCTTGGGACGGGAGAGTACCCAACCCATGGTTGGGAGGGATACCCAACCCATGAGGGAGGGAGGTGAGATCGGAGGACGGGTCCATGCGAGGGAAGGAAAAACTATGCGAGGCAAGAAAAATGGTCGAGGCAGGAAAAAAAAAAACGCGCAGCAGAGAAAGCCCACCTTCGCAGTCGAAAAAGTCACCGCAAGCAAACACACCTTGGATGTTGGCAGGGCTTTTTGGGCTGGTTGCTGCTGGAAGCCTGCAGTATGGCCCAAGGCGCGGCGTGTTTGGTTCTTTCTTGCTGTCATTGTCTTAGACACCTTGAAGAAGCAGCCTAAAAACATTTACACCATCTTTCCAACATGTTTTTCCGAAACAGTGCGCTTGGGAGACCGGCTCGGTGCAAGGCTTTAGACCAGGTTATGATGAGATTAAAAATTGCGCAAGCGTAGAGTATACACAAATCGTAACGTTAAAGCACGTTATTGACAAAACCTGCCCTGGAAAAAACCGCAAATCGCAACGTCTCGAGCTGAAAATAGTTTATTAGGCAGCAACCAGGTAATGGATGATTTGGTGTGCAGAAATCTGTGGCTGTAAAGGCCTCAAGACCTTCTCAATCATCAAGGCAACAGAGCAGAATCCAGCCATCATGGTTTTTTCACATTCAGTGTTTTTGGTGAGTGAGTGCCAAAGCAGCTGACACTGAAGTGATGGACGAAAGATTATCCAGCGATGCTCAGCCCGTGGAAGTAAACATTCCTTGGTGGGCAAGTGGTCTTCGCTGATGGTAACGGTGTTGAGCTTGGCTCTAAGGGGCAGCGCTTTTTTTTTGCTCGCCACGCTGCTGTATGTGCACTAGGCACCAGTCAGTCATAAGACGGCAGGCTAGAGAAGCACCTTGGCAACCCAGCAAGATGTGAGACAGTTGAAACACAGGTGAAACCGGGGCCAGACGACAAAAACAGAACAACGCAAAACAACAACAAAGAAAAACAGCAAACCAAGAACAGAACCAGCCAACAAGAAACACAAAACCACAGCAGAGAAAACAAGCCCCTCACGTGCACTGGTGAGAAGGAGTATTGGAATATCTCAATGAGATCCAACCACTAGTCCAGGAATCCTGGCGCAATAGTTTGCTGGTGGCCCACACCAAACAGGAAAAAACAAAAACACAGCAAACAAGCAAAACAGCACCAAAACAAACACAAACAAAAACACGCAACACACAAAAGGAGGGCCAAGCAAATTATTGAAAATAGGCGAGAACTATGAGGTGATCACTGGGGAAGAAGTCCCACAATAATCATCGGATGCAGCTACAGAAGTAACTCACGGATGCACGGATGCAAATCAAAAAAAGGGCGGTAGCCCCCCCGGCAACCGCTCAGCGCAACGGCAAAAAAGACCCAGTGGCCTCCCTTGCGTGCGAACACATGTCGGTTTTTTGTTTTTTTTGGCTTCTTTTGGTGGCCTTCAGGGACTTACGACCGGGGTTGCCGGAAGGCACATGGGTTACAGGGGTGGGGATCATCTCAGGCATACAACGGATCAGTAAGATCCGAGGGCATGGCTGCAAGACGCTGCAAGCAGGTGCGTATTATGTGGGGGTGTCCGAGGCGGGTCAGTGGCGATTGAAGGAAACCGAAGGTCCGTTTCCTACAAGCGCCCTATGGCCAATCTCCGCACCCGAGGGTGTCACTTACCACCATGAACGGTAGCTACCCTGTCCTCCCTGAGTGCCCCAGGTAGTGGATCCACGGCTGCGTTCTCTGGTTGAGGCAGCGGTCGACGGTTGGGGACTTTCCCACATTTTGAGGACCTGACCAGTCAGGAGGGTGACGTCAACACCACACTTTTCAAGTCGTTGCTTCCATATTCTGGGTGAAGTCCACTTGCGATGTTGCCCATACTGATGTTGTTGCGAGCTGTCCTCAATACACCCAGTTTCTTCGAAGATGGATTCGAGCCTCGGCAATGTGCATACTCTACCGTCTTGAGGGAAAAGGGAGGCACATTTGATCAAGACTTTCTCCAGACTTTTAACCATGAAGGCATCGCGGTACGTGCCCCGCAGGGAGGACTCAAGGACATGAGCCCCACTTGACTGGCTTGCAATGGACAGTACCTCGCTTGGGTCAAAATTCATGGTATCCCAAGGCGTAAGCATGTGCTCATGCCACAGAGCTTCGATGTCTCCGGGGCTTGCAGGGATGGCAAGGGGGTTGATTCGGATTTGATGACTAGTGTTGAGAACGTTTGTTCTGCGTCGTCAGTTTTGGTGGTTCCCACTGCCACAAGGTTATTGTCAACTGCCTTGGCCGTATTATTGGTCAGCAAGTGGCAACGATCGAGACCCAGACGGGTCAGGTTCTGCAACACCTGCTGCACGAAAAGGCAGGGGAAATAGACCTTGATATTTTTGGTCGGTAGGATTGGTCTGGCCGAACTTCCCAAAGAGGTTTGTCTTCTCCATCGAGGGCATACCCCCACAGGACTCCCATTGCACAATGTCCAGGATGTGCTTGATGATAACGCTCCGTGGGCTTGTAGTTGGCCGCCTCGACAAGGACCAAGTGAAGTCGATGCAATGTCATTCTGCGGGTAGCGGAGTCAAATTTTTGCCAAAACAGTGCCATGGGCAACGGGAAACTGCCAAAGGTCATTCCTCAAATGCGGTGTTCCATTTCAGAGTCAGCGACAATATTCTCATCCAGGGACATTTCAGAATGGGAGAGGCCATACGCATTCGTGTCGATCACTGCCAGACCGGTTTGCAGGACCGCCGTAACGATGCATGCACCTGGTTGACCTGCCATGTCAAGCGGTGAGATGATGATGGTAGTGCCAATTGCTCTGGAGAGGCCTACATTTGCTCGGGTGAATGCCTGCCAATCTCACGACCGTGTCAACTCTTGTTGGAACAACAGAGAGGAATTCAGGTTGTCGGGAAGGTTCCTCCGGAGATTTGCCGGAGCTCTTGCCCCCTTTGACTCGTTTGGGCGCAGGAGACTGAGCTCCATCTGCGTCTCTGCCCTCGATAGGGGGGGCCACGTAGGCTGGGTTGGGAACAGGGGACTCAAAGGGAACAATGGGTATATGGTGGGCCAAAGAGTCACGTTGGAACCGAGTGTTGGTGATGATGATTTGCCCAGGGGTGGCACCTGGCTTGGTATCATGGAAGCAGGGAATGTGACTAAAGATTTCGAATGCTTCATGCACTGCTGCCACAATGGCTTTGGCGGGAGCACGCCCCCTTCGCTGGCGGTTCCAGAACACATACCTGAAGCCGTGTGGCTCGTTGAGTTGGTAATTCCTAGTACCAGTGCCGAACTGCCACTCGCCCTGATTGTGCTGAACCAGTTCTGGGTACAGAGTACCAATGAGAGCTTCGTACACGGGATTAGGCACTCGGCTAGTAGTAGAGAGGGTCAGCCTCCATTCATGCACTCCCGCACTAAGTCCACAACATTCCATACATGAGGTGGCATGCTGCAAGGTCAGGAGGGAGCCTGGCTTGAGCAGGAGGTGGGCAATTGTGAGGACGGTGCCTACAGGGGAAGACATGTAAACTCGATTGCATTCGGAGGCGACCTGCAACACCCAGGAAGCGAAAGCGCCCGGAGGGTCGCTGGCTTCAAATTGAACCAAAGAACCCAGTGGCTCCCCAGAACTATATGTCGCAGCAAACGAACCCTGTGGCTCCCCTGCTTCAGGCTGTGCATGGCTTGTGATCGGTGATTTGGCTGATCTGGCTGCCGTAGCTGCTGTTGAGGGTACAACAGTGGGACCTTGTGGATCAAGGGCCCAGGGCAACATTACGCTGGAATTGCTGACGGCTCCTGCATGTGCCAGGAGGTCCGACACATCAAGTCCATGGGCCTGTGCCGCAGTTCTGGCGAGGGCAACGCCAAGGTTGGCTGGTGTGCGGCTCTTCTGTCCGGCGCGGAGGCCAATTGGTAGCCGGAGCAGCTCACCCCGCAAGTACTGTGCCAGGCAAGTCTCTCGCAGGCCACCCGGCGATTGATGACTGTCGCCCATGTAGATGACAAAGCATGGGATGCGTGTCATTGCGACCGCTGAGATAGACAGCAGGTCCGCCCCTTGCTGGCTTTCTTCATGCACAAACAAACACGTACTGCCAAAGTGGGAGGCAATTTGTGGATGCCAATGGTCGACAGCCTTGAAAGCAGTGCCTGTGGTGACCACCAGGACTTTGGCTGCAGCTACTCTATGGTGTGTCGCTGGGTCTCGCGTAGCCGCGTCAATGGCGTGATGGTTACCCTCATTTGCATCATATTCTGTAGCACCAATGGCCCGGCAGAATAGCTTTTCTCTAAGGGGCAGCGCAGGCAGCCAAGGTAGAAAGAGAGCAATACAAGCTCAATGGTTCCAAAATTGCTGTAATGAGAACAATCCATTGCCCGGAATTAAAGTCTGTAGGCAACTGTCCGTGAACAGGTGGGCGTGGGTGTCACTTTCCAGAGTTGGACCTTCAGACATACATGTTTTGTGCTCAATCGATTTTGCGCCTGCACGAAGAGCTACAGTGGTCTAGAACAAAGAGCATAGGAAACATTTGCAAATTTTGGAGAACCGGTGTTTGCACTTTCGAAAGTACCTCGTAAGGGTACAGCCCGATGGAGGAGGATGATTTTTCTTGGCAAGAGTGATCCTCAGGAAATCTACATCTTGTTTGCTGGAATTCGACGCATCGATGTGGCATGGACCCTTCTATAACTTCAGATGCTGGTCATGGGAGTACAAGAGTGGGTTTGGAGGCAATGAAGGAGCAGAACGGGGCACTCTCTGAAGATGCAGACCGAGCTCACCAAGATGACAAGCAACTCCCAGCAGCAACAGCAGTTCTTGGAGATGAATAAAAATGTGCTTGTTCAGTTTGTTTAAATTGGAAAATCATCATATGAACGCTATGGCATTTTGATCAAGTGGACATTCATTGCATTTGCGCTTTGAACTTGTGTTGTTTGGTGGGTTTTGGTTCCCTTTTTTTTTGCTCGCCAGACTGCTGTATGTGCACTAAGCACCAGTCAGTGAAAGAGAGACAGGTTAGGTAAGCACGTTGGCAAAACCAGCAGGTGTTGAATTCAGAACTGAGGGACAAAACCGAAAAGAAAACAAACACCACCGAAAGAAAAGAAAACAAAAACACCAACAAGAAAGAATAAAACAACCAAAACGAAAAAAAGCAGAACACCAAAACCAACACACTAAAAACACACCACAGTTCTCAGCGTGAAACGGTCAGACATAAAAATGCCCATAGCGGCATATAGATCCGGCACATGTGGTCCAGGGGACTTTAACGCAATGAAAGGCTTCAAATGGCCGACAAGACGGCAAAGCACAACAGCAACATCAAAAACCCAAAAAACAAATCACCAAAACAAAAACAGCAAACAAACGCAACGAGAGCCCTGAGAAGCCAAGCATTGAAAATTTATGCCGGGTAAGTGAAACATCTCAAGCAGGCCAACAAGCCAGCAATATCACGAAGGCCTCCAATGGAAGCCGCTACAGGGTGTAGCTCACGGATGCAATCGGATGCAGGAAGGCTGGTAGATCAGTAGTCCAGAGGCAGCGATCCAAGCCCAGAGGCTTCCCGCTCAGTACCACGACAAGAAAGACCCAGTGGCCTCCCTTGCGGGTATTTTTTTTTGGGTTTTGGTTTCCCTTTTTGCCTGGTTTTGGAGAAGCTTTTCAGTGGTGTTATGTCCATTGAATGACATATGACGCGCCCTGTTGATGTGCTTAATATAGCATGTCATTGTTTCACTCTTATCACCACCCAGTGCTGCCTCGGTAGAGTTTGTGTGTTTGAGGTGGTCTTGTTTTTGTTTGGTTTGTGTTTCTTGTGTGTTTGTGGGTTGGGTTGTCTTTGTTTGCTTTTGGGTGTTGTTTTTCTTGTTCTGGTTTCTCCACCCATGCGGCCCTGCCAAGCCAAAGTGCTTTGCATGCCTGTCTCTCTTTCACTGATTGGCGCATAGCGCACATACAGCAGTCTGGCGAGCAAAAAAAAATTGCGCTTTGACCTTGTGCATTTTCTTTTCCCTCCCTCCACACCTTGGGACAGCGTCTGAATTTTTCCCTTTTATTACTCATTTAAATGGATGATTCAAAGGGATTCCAATCTCATGATGTTCATGTTTTTCAGCGATTTCGTTCTTTTTCATGCATTCTATCTTGATAACCTGATCGTTTTATCTATCCTTGCTCCAAAGGTGGCTTTGTGCATTCGAGCATTCAGCCTGTGCATCAAAGCATTCGCATCAATTCGTGCACTCGTCCGTAGCAGTGTCTGTTTTTCACCCAACTCATTTTGGGCCAATTCATTGCTTTGGTGGAATCTTTCACCTCTGTTGACCAGGCCATTTTGGCCATTTCCATTGGATCAGATGGTGTTGTTTCTCATATTCAAACTTCAACGCTGTTCATGCGTTTAGGGTTGCTTTTCTCTACTTTGGTTCCGTGGAATCTTTTTCTTTCACCCTTGATTCCCTTATGGGGCGGTGATTTGCCGTTGATCAAGTTGAAGATCAATTTGAAGCTATGCTTTGACAAATATCCAGCAATGCAAAAAGGAAAGATTAATTTCAAATGAGCGGTGGAGTGAGGGAGCGACTTGAGAGATTTTGGACAAGTTTGTATTAAGTTTCTAGATGGCGTCGTATGCTTTCGTGATATATAAATAAATATATATATATAGTATATATATATATAATATCTGTTTGTATGCGATATTAAGCTGATGTAATGAATGTCAACTTTGAACGTTCAGGTGATTGAAGATGAAGCTCCACAAGGCAGTGAACTTAAGCGTGTGAGGATTCAGTATCCCAGTCCAGTGGGAATCTTTGATGATGACCCTGAAGGACAAGCTCAACCGACAACACCTCCAGTGATTGTGCCTCAGCAATCAAATGCTTCAGCAACAGCAACATCTTCTTCTCAAGCGATGGCCATTGATGTTCCACAGACTCCTGATGTTTTGCCTGGACAACCTACAACACCTCGAGGCAGTCCTGTGACGAGGCAACATGAAGTTGAAGGAGATGACCATGAGTCGAAACGGGCTCGAGTTGAGTCTCAGAAAAAGCAACGCTTGGAGAGGATCAGCGCTGAGTATGCTGCTCAAGTGCGCACTGTGAAGTTTGCTGAGGAGACCTATCACACCATGGATGAGTACGACCACGACTTGAAGCTAGACGACCATGACAATGTTGAAGCATGGTTGGAGGAGGAGAAAGATGATGTGCAGGTGGACACAATGCTTGATGAACTGTGGGCAAACCATCCCATCGAGAAGCAACCTCCAGAGCCAGAAGCTTGGGTTGACAGGATTGCTGACAAGGTCGAATTGACCAGACTTTGCAACATGGGTGTCTTGGTCGAAGGCAACATTGACAACCTGAGTGCAGATTCAACATTGACTTCCAAGTTTGTGTACGACTGGAGATTGAAGGAGCGTACATTGGTTGATGGAACCAAGTGTCAATGCTGGCTCAGGAGATCACGTCTTGTGGCACGTGAGTATGCCTTTTGGGAGAAGCGTGCAGACACCTATGCCCCAGCAACATCTACTCACATCATCAACCTTCTTCCTATGCTTTTTCTACAGCAACAAGCCAAGGGGAGATGACTTCGAGGAGGAGCAGGTGTGTCTTGCAACTTTGGACGTTAAAGACGCGTTTTTGCAGGGTGATCAACCATCTCCAATGCTTGTGGTGCTACTTGGACAACAGTTCACAGTGAAGAAAAATCTCCCAGGACAACGACTTGGTGCAAAGAGCTGGTATTGGTTCTTGCGTGATTGGGTCGACAAGGAGATGTCGATGACATGGTGCCCGGAGCAACCATGCCTTGCGAAAAATGAGAAGTGCTGCCTGATAATCCATGTGGATGACATCCTCTATTGTGGCAGCAAGGCCTATTGGAATGACGTTTTCCTGGCCAAGTTCAAACAGAGGTTCAAGGTGAGTTTTTCCCAGCTTGAGGGGATTGGCAGCGAGATCAGCTTCTTGAAGAGGAGGATCAGACAAGCACCGAGAAGGTGGTTCAGTTGTTTGAGAAGAACTTCGGTGCAGTGCGCTCTCAGATGATCCCTTGCGATGGTGGAATCAACACGGAAGATCTTTCAAGTGAGTTGCCACCAAGAGAAGCTTTCGCCTATCGCTCAGTGGTTGGGACATGCCTCTACTTGGCACGTGACAGGCCTGACCTTCTCTATACGGTCAAAGAGCTTTCAGGAGCAATGTCGAGACCAACCTACACAGCCTTGCAACGACTGAAGAAGCTTGTTGGATATCTCAAAGCTACCCCAGATTTTTGCGTACTTCTGGATTACCCTGTTGGTGGACAAGGGAAGTGGCGTGCGACAGATCGCTTTTGGATCTTGGAGACCGACAGCGACAGCGATTGGAGCGGCCACCAGACCCATCGAAGGTCTACGAGCTGCGGGATCCACATGCTCAATGGATCATTCCTTTTTGGGAGCTCAAGGACACAGCGAGTGGTAAGCCTTTCAAGCTGTGAGTCAGAGCTTCACTCTATGGTCAGTGCCCTCAGCGATGGAATCTTCCTGAATCGATGCCTGATGTTTATCTGTGGGGGAGAAGTTCAACATGTGCTCTTCACAGATTCATCTTCGGGAAGACAGTTGGCAATGAGACAAGGGACCGGGAAGGTCAAACACCTTTCTGGAAAGATCCTATGGATCCAAGATGCAGTGAGGACAGGACTGGTTGAACTTTCACAGATCAGTGCAGTTTGGAATTTGAGCGACATTGGTACCAAAGCTTTGGGAATTCAGCGAGCGCGACTTCTACTTCACGAGCTCAACGTGGCAACAGGCCGAGACCTCCAAATCGTTGGACAAGTTGAATATCAAACTCAGTGCAGCAAACATGGTGGAAAACATGATCTATCCGATCTATCCAAACTGGTGCGAGAAGTGACGCATGTTTTGATGGTTTTGGGCCTTGAGTCAATGACCCTCACGGGAGTGGCTTGAATGGCCATGCTGGACGATGATGATGTTCCAGAAGGCCAACGCAACAAGGAGCCCAATGACGCTACATCAACAACAGCTGGATGGAGCTATGGATTTTGGTTTTTCATCATGCCCATTCTCTTCGCACTGGGATTTTTCTTGTGGAAGGTTTGGAAGCGAGCAAAGGATGCCTATGACAGCTATGAGCAAAACTACACAGACCTTGCAGTTTTGGAGTCAGCCTTCGAAAGATTTCAACGAGAGAATCAGTTTCTCAGATGCGACATCAATGCCCTCCAGGTGGAAGAGCTTCTTGGACAGATGAGAAGGCTCAGAGAGGGCCATAACGAACTGCAGGGGGAGATCGTCCAGGACTCATCAGAGTTGGTGCACTATGGCCTGGTGCAACTGGGTGGATTTACCTTTTTCCAAACATTGGATCCGGGCCACAGGAGGCATATGTACGAGCTTGAACGCGGCAGCATGGTCGCACATAGGACCATGGGTGCTGACCGCTACTTAGCAGTGGTCAGGCAGCAAAACCAGGGGACAGCACGAGGTGGCGACGATACAGATATGCTGCAGGACAACTCATCAGAGGAGGCTCTACGAGAAATTAGAGCTCAAGTCCATGAGCAGCTGGAATCGGACGAAGAGGAAGGCGATGATGTGGGTTTGGCGCCTTCGGAGAACAACTTCAACATTGCGACGGAGACCCTGAGATCAGAGGTCAATCAGAGCTTGCAGCAACACCACTATGCCCGAGCAGCTCAGCTACAGCAGATGGTGATGATGATCTTGGACACCACTCATGTCGATCGGCTCATTAGCAGTGCCGACCGTGTCTTGCTCTTCAATGGTTTGGGAGACAGGATGGAAAGTCTAGCAGACGAAAATCGACTGAATGACCCAGTCACTGCGCAGCGCTATGAAGCGTATGCTGGGCAGTTCAGAGAGATGGCAAATGAAGGATGAGAAATTTCAAGGACTTTGCATGAGACAATGTGGACTGAATACAAAAGCTCGTGCAGATGCGGTGAGTCTCTGAGAAAATGGGTGTGAGCCATACAGCTAAAGCTTGCTGACTCAAGGAGGAGTCCGAAGAATTGGTAGCAGCACTCATGTCTCAGATGGATGTATCATGGCCACTGCACAAGGATGACACGCGCAAACCGAACTCATAGAATCAGTTGAACATTTCCTGTGAAATCACATGGAAGCTTGGACACACAACATGTGTGGATTTTGTGAGGCCCTGGTCCAAGTAAAAAGGTGCACAGAGTGTGGCACTTTTCTTCGCAAGAAGGGAGACAAGCACCGGAACCCGAGAAGGAACCAGGAGGTACCAAGAAATCATCATGATGGATGGAACACAACCCTTTTCCGGAGAAAAGAACGAAGAGAGAAGAAGGGAGAGAAGCACCGGAACCCGAGCCGGAACCAGAAGGAACCACCAATCATGATGGAACATAACCGTTTTCCGGAGAAAAGAAAGAAGAGAGAAGAAGGGAGACAAGCACCGGAACCCGAACTGGAACCAGGAGGAACCAGGACATCATGATGGAACAGAACTCTTTTTCCGGAGAACCGAAAGAAGAGAGAAGAAGAAGATAAGCGCCGGAACCCGAGCCGAATCCAGGAGGGATCAGGAAATCACGATGGAACATAACCTCATTCCGACGAAAAGAAAGAAGAGAGAAGAAGGGAGACAAGCACCGGAACCCGAGCCGGAACCAGCAGGAACTAGGAAATCATGATGGAACAAACACTGTTGCTAGCAAAAATCAGAACCCCATTCAGCTCAAGAGCTGTTCGGGGAAAAATTACACAGGTAACCTTACACCTCTTTGTGCATGAATGTGTAGTATCACGTGTGTTGGTGTGTTCTGATGTGTAAAATGAAACGATGTTTTTTACCCAACCACATGGAATCTACAAACAGTGTGTATGAAGAGTGCAGCATTGATGTCTACAATGCCAAATGCCGTTTTTTTCTCCAACATCTTGAATCGCACGCTGTGATAAAATTGCCGTTCTGTTTGGCTTTGAACTGATGGTCTTGCAGAATTTTAAATGTGGTTACATCCTCGAGCGGTATCATCTTTAGGTTTGGCTAGACGGCCTACATATTTCAAATTCTACCATGTGTCGGAGGGCGTGGTGGATCGTTCGTGGGTTGGAAGACCGAAAAACGAATGCCAATAGCCACAAATTTTTCAAGCGGAACTAGTTGGGGCGACCTTTGCTGGATGACATTGGCGGACACAAATCGAGAATCTTCCAATTTGAGGTTCCAGATCCTTCATCCGCCGTGCCACCGAAAAGGCACCAAAATATTAGTTAGAAACTTGAAGGTTGGACAGGTTGAGTTGGAGGGTTCCAAGTTGTCATGTTCAAAATCCACTCAATGCATGGCGGGTTTGCAAGGACGAAGTATGACAATCTGCATCTGCATTGGGGTACCAAGCATTGCTTGTTTTCAAATCGCATTTTGGTTTGAAACACCTTCAAATTTGTACCAACAATCGTGTCAGTGGAATTTCGCCACAGAAAAAAATCGGTGTTTGGTTTGGTGTTGGTCTTATGTTTCCATGCGGGGCTTATTTATTTGTTGTCATCATTTGGTTGCCGGCCGTTGTAAAATTTGTCACACTTTTATACAAAATATTTTCCAAACAAGTTCTAAGCCATTGTATTTTGTTTATTCATTCATGGACATCTAAATCCAAAAATTCTTGGAATTCAAACGCATTTCTCTAAACAAAACACAACAGGTAAGGCTTGAGTTGATGGTGGTTGCCACAAATGTTAATAATCCATTTTGGTCTGATTTGGGGATCATTCCACATGAACTTTTGGCCTTGTAGAACATTTTTTTGTTGCAGTTTTTAGTTTCGAAAATAGCACGATGACATGATTTGGGTTTCATGCAAATCGGCTGAATTGAGGGCCAAGAGAGTCGGCTGAATTGAGAATCAAGAGCGGGAGGACAGTTGAAGAACTCCGGGAAGGTGAAAACAAAAGCAAAAACATCAACACAATCGTCACTGATTGTTATGTTCATCGTTTGTATCGTTTCTTCCTTCAGACTCATCATCAATTACAAACAACAAAAAACAGTGATACTACATCACCGTGCGGGCCTACCGTTTGAATCAACAGGGCCAACATGCCCAGGCACCAAATGGCAACAATGACACAGGGAACATTTTGGAGCAAAAAACACAGTAAAACTTCACAGCAATCAACATCAGGAACCAAATCCCATATATCACGCAGAAACAAGTACAAGGCATGTCCTTGGACGCATGGTTTCAATGCTGGACTCGGTCGGAGAAATCCCAAGAGGACGACTTCACATTATTTTTTCGATGACATTTCAATTTAGTCATGAAATTATCACGGATTATTTCAGATTTCAGAGCTCACATCTCACGTCCCCGACAGGACAAGACCGATGTTTGGCTGACGGAACAACTCAAATTTACGCGGGAACAGTTCCTGAATTGCAGAATGATGTGTGAACACATATTTGTTGATAGTTCATTGAATGACGGGTTGGAGTGTTTGATTCAATTTGTTATGAATTGCCATGATTGATGCGCTATGCGAATGCACATTTTCAACTTGTAAGTATCTGAGGCTTGACAAAAAAGCGAGACAATGTGAGCAACTGGATGCAGAGAACAGACGGTTGCAGGCTGGGAACCAAACAAAATGAAACCGGGGGCTCATGTTGTTTTTCCAAAAATTTGGTCATTCTAGCATTAATCCCATCCCCCTTATTTTAGACACTCCTTTGGAACCATGGGAATTACCACACATTAATATTATATAGGGGGATAGGACAGGATTACATCAACCAAATTCCTTTGTTGATATCAGCTTTTGAGGCACGCCTCAGCGAAGTGGTGGGGGTCCTTGGCACAGAACGTCGCTTTATACAACAAACATGTTGTCAGAAATTGACTGCAATCATGGTCAATTCATGGTCGTACCAATTGGGGGGTGGTTCCAAATGGATGGACCGAATCAAGGAACAACCTGACTTGCAGCGGCAACTGGAAGAACAGAGGGCAATGCACGCCGAGGTCAGCGGTGCTGTGGTCAATGTAGTTCATGTATCAAACCTCCACATTTTTTCAGTCTTGGGTGCCATGAAAAAACAAGATTAAGGTGAAAAGGTGCAACTGAGTCTTGCTGCAACTGTTCTGAGACTTCATGGCGTTTGGGTGGTTTTTACAATCATTCGACCAATGTAGGGGACCTAGTCGTTCGGAATCCTGGGTATCTGGTATACCTCGCATTGGTGATAAACATTCGTTCCATGTTGGGGGATTCCTAAGTTCCTCAGGGTTCTTCGCATTCTTGGAGATTTGCTTCGTTCCAAGATGATCCACCATCTTTCATCAGATTTCACCGGATTTTCACCGGATTTCACCGTGTTTTTTTTCTAAGGGGCTACATGGATGAACAGGCGTACTATCCACAACACAGAAATCATATCAGTGAGAATATACAGCATATCCTCGAGAAGGTTTCCATATCACCTCTACATGGATTGTTTCCTGAGTCATAGGGGTACCCCCAGTCATCATCCAAATTTTAGTGGCATTTTCCATAAAATAAACATAAATAAACCATCAAACTGGGGGTACCCCCATTTATGGCATGGAAACCCCCACATGGATTGATCTGGATCCCAGGAGCTCCAAGGCTTGCAGGCCGGTCACAGCCTGGAGCTGGAGCGGCTCCGCGAGGAACTGGGCCGAGAACGCGAGCTGCATCGGGAGGCGCGCGCGCGCGCCAATTGCGGCGACTCTCGGTGCTGTCTCGGTGTCTCAGATTGTTTGCTAAGTTGGCTTATAAGTATCTTGCATCAACATATGTAGATATATGAATAAATGCTATGAATATATATATATAATTATATATAATTATAATTATATTATATATATATAATTATATATATATATACATATACATATACATATACATATACATAGACATAGACATAGACATAGGGAATAACATATGTATATTTAATCTTGGGAATTACAAGCCGACTCACAACTGGGGAATACCCTGGGAGCATTCTGGGAAATCCCCAAACCCATGGGATTATCCCATGGGCTGAGCATGATGATCCTCCAAGTTCTGGACTGCAGAGGCTTCTCATGTCCTCCACGGTCTCCAAGCACAGAGGGATGAGAAGGCATGGAGTTGAGAGGATGGGGGAAATTGGATTGGCCAACTCCATCACCGCGACTGACCAATGGGCGACTCACCACGGTCACAGTGGCAGCCAATGTGCTCTTGTTTGGATTGTGGATGTGTTTGGACATCAGGCTTGATTTGCCGAAGAGCATGTGGAGGTTATTCTAAATGTTCAAGAATGAGGGCACCATCCAAAATGATTATTTTGACGGAGAAAGATGATCATGAAACATTAGGGATTCTCGGACAAGCTCATGTTGCACTTCCGGAGGTGAAAGATCTTCAAGAGGAGCTACGAAATCTTAGCGATGGGTTAGCTCAGAAGGCAGATGGTGCATGCTGCAGAACAGTCTGTGTCGAGCAACATCAAACTTTTTCACATGTGCAGAGTTGGCTTTGATTCAATGGGTTTTGCGGACTATTCGACGGTTTTCGACGGTTTTCTCTGCTTGCTCTTGGGCAGGAAGAAGACATGCTGAATATTCAGTTCAGCATGGCTGAACTGCAGAACCGCTGTGTTGACCAGGGCGTCAGTGCCTCAGTGCAGCTGCATTCACAGATGCAAAGTATGCACTGTCTCAAATCAGTTTTTGGTATTTTGTCTCAAGCTCTTCAGGACATGCAGAACTATGCAACAGGAATCCAGGGTACAACAGCCTATCCAACATGTAGGGGAGCTTCATCTCCACACTGCATATTCATGTAAACAGTGTAAGCTCCAGAGTGTGGGACCAAAACATATTTTATTTTCTACTGGAACATTTTAATTTCAACCACCCTTCCGCAGTTTTGGGAGCTGTAACTGAATCAACTTTCTGGTGTTCTCCATGGATCCTTTTGTGCCTTGGAATGTCGCTGACCGTGAGTAGCCTCAGTGGGCGAAGCTTGACTCTCCATGCGACGGATTTGGAAAATGGGCTGCGCAAAGCTGTAGCCCAAGCACTGGAGCACCCCAGCTTTCGAACCAGGCCGTTGCTTTTGACAGTGCCGACGTCTTGACAAATTGACATTTTGCAGTGTATGAATTGAGTTTTGCGAGTGTGGGACTGTGGGATTGAGTTTTACTGACTCACATGTGCGGGAAAGTATACTAAGTAAATGTAGTCTCAGATGCAATCCGAGCACTACTGCTCCTTCCTGAACTGTCAGACTGGTCTTGGCTGGCAACCTTCTTCCATATGATGCGACGTGGGAGGAGCGCCGGCAGGGACGGACAGATCCGGTGTTTTTCAGTTCTTGCGCTGTTCCATTTCCTTCACAGTTCCCTGATCGATCCCTTGAATTTTGCTTGTTTTGTTCTGCCAAAGGCACTGGAAATCTATGGAAATCTGATGAAAACTGATGCCTTTCGTTCCACCGGTCCAGGATGTTGGTCAGCCATCAGAAGTGGAGGTGGTGACCCTTCCTCCCGTGATGGATTTTACCACCTCCCTGTTCCACGCAGTCCAGAAAGGAGATGTCATTTGACTAAAAAAATGGCTCGCTTGGCTTGGATTCGACTTGGCTCAGCAGATTTTGGTCATCTCACTAGGAACTAGCCCAAGCCTAACACATTTTGTTTTGGTGTCTGAGTGTACATACCCAACAGATCCCAACAGCCTGATGTCCGAAGTTCATCGCCAAGCATGCTGAGGTTCGTGAGGTTAAATCGATCTTGTTGAAATGCCAGGTGGGGCTGGTTGTTGGGACGTTTTCTCGAGATCAGCCACCGAATTGTCGCTTTACGAGCTTAGTGGGGTTCAATCCCAAATGTTCAAGTTTTGCCTGAGTGCATGCAGTTGTCAAATTGTCAAAGGATGGATCTTGAGTCTTGACAGCTGTTTTGTTTGACCCTGTTTGCTTGCAGGATCCGAATTGTCAGGATGCGAGAGGCAACTGGGCCTTTTTGAAAGCGAGCGCGACAGCGTACTGCAAAAGTGAGATTCTGCGTTTGCTCCATGAAGCTTCTGCGGATGTGCGCGTGGCCGATCGTTCTGGTCGTACAGCTCTCCATGCAGCTTCATCTTGTGATGAAGGTGATCAGTGGCTGCTAAAACCCCGTTGGTTGATGATCAAAAGGGATGATGATTATACAGCATACAATTATACTTTCCAAAATGTTCAGGATATTTCAGGATTATCACAATTGTCTTTTGGGAATCCCTTTTAACCACTGCTGAGCACTACTGCTCAGGTGAAGTTGTGAGTTTTCTTCTCGAGTGTCGCGCAGACCTGGAAGCAGCTGATACATTTGGACGGACTGCCCTGCACTTGGCTGCATTGAGGGATTGCGGGCAGGCTGCCCAAATATTATTGGAGTGGGGGATCCAGAAGAACAGAGAAGACAGCAGTGGCACTACTGCCTTGTACACTGCAGCCGACAAGGGGAACCACGGGGTCTTGTGTGTACTGCTGGAGGCCAGCTCAGATATGGAAAAAACTGATTCAAATGGTCTGACTCCATTACATGCAGCAGCATCGCGTGGCCGCATGAAAGTGGTGGTGGATCTTGTGTCTCATTCGGCGGACATGAACAAGTCATGTCTCAATGGCATTACCCCACTTCATGCAGCTTGTGATCGAGGATATGGCCAGATTGCAGATTTTTTGATCCAAAGTCGGGCAGACTTGGACCAGGGAGACCTTTTTGAAAGCAGCCCTCTACATGCAGCTGCAGCAGCTGGTCACCATGAAGTGGTGCGCTTGCTGGTGGAAGGACGCGCAGATCTTCAAGTGGGAAATGTCAATGATGTTAGCCCATTGCATGTTGCAGCGGCACAGGGTCAGATCCAGGTGGTAGAACTTCTGGTTGCTTCTGGCGCACAGAAAGACAAAGTGAACTGCTTTGGCGCAACACCCTTGCGTGGTGCAGCGGAACAAGGACATTATTCAGTTGTGAGTTTTTTGCTACAGATCAGAGCCAGTGGCACAGTCACTGACAACAGCAACACCACTGCTTTACACTCAGCGGCTGCACAGGGCCACTACGACATAGCTAAGCTCTTAGTGGAGTCCAAGTCGGATGTGAATGGCGCGAGTTGTGATGGAATAACCCCTTTGCATGCAGCATCAACGCGAGGAGATTCCGATTTGGTGGAGTTTTTGCTTAGTTGCAGAGCCAATCCCAACCAACAAAATGTCAAAGGGGAGCTGCCTTTGCATGCCGCGTCAGCTTTGGCACATGCACGTGTGGTGGAGAATTTGTTGGGTGCCCGTGCAAAGGTCAATCATGTGAATAGCCGCGGTTTTTCTGCTCTTCACACAGCTGCTAGTCTGGGACGTGTGGAGGCAGCTCGTGCGCTTGTTGAGGCAGGTGCTGACAAAGAGCTGCCAGATGATGTGGGAAATACCGCATTGCGGGCAGCTGCACGCCAGGGCAGTATGGAGATGATTTGTTTGTTGGTTGAGGCTGGGGCCCAGCAAACCTTTGACAAAACTTTGCAGTGCTCCAGCATCGAGGTGATGAATCATGAGGACAGCTCAGCCTGTGTGGCGAAGAAAATGTGTGCTTTGCCCGTTGGCATGTTTGACATCAACATACTTTGAGAAGGAACTGCCTGAAATTTGTTGAAAACACATCAAAGAGCTTGCGACGAATATACGAAAACAGACATGTGTTTGCAGATAACGACCTATCCAAGGTTCTGGTTGAAGAGAATGCGGATGCCTTTCAGAAGGCATCAGAGGAGTTGGCTGAGAAAGAAGAGGCCTCTTGATTAGCTGCCAGCGGCTGCCACTCTGATCTTTTTGGGATTTCCATTTTGAGTGTGTTATTTATATACTGTATAAATATATATGTGTATACATATATATATATATACGTACATAGAAGCATATACGTATATCTGTATATACATATATATATATAGATCATATACATACATACACATATCATATAGTTATGGGATATACGCATGGAGTCACCAAAAAAATCAATTTCCAAACTCACCCAAGCTGAAACTGTCCAGTTCCAGGCCCTGGAGAATGCCATCCAGAAGCAGCAGGAACTCATCGCCCAGATGAACCTCGTCTCGGGGGAACTCCAAGGACAGGTGACTCAGCTCACCAAAGAGCTTGAGCTGAGCAAGGTGCCTCAAGGGTGCCCTTGGTTGGACGCTGTGAAGTAGACCTAGTAGACCCAGGATTTCAATGATGCAAATCGGGATTGTCTGCAAAAGGGGGCTCATCAATTTTGCTATGGAAGACTGGACATTTCTGGCTATCCCTCATTTTCAGACAGACATTTCATTTTGCACATTTTTGCTTGGATTGAAGAACCTCCAGATTGAAGAACGTCCAGATTTAACGGTGACCGTATTTTCTCGGACAGGCCTCAAAAGAGCAAGTGCAAGCAGCCGCTTCAAGGTGAGCCGTTGGGTGGAACCCCAACAAAAAGGCCTTTCAGGGATAGATCAAAGCAAAACAACATTAAGATTCTAAGAGATATATGGAATCGTTTTACGTTCTTATTGTTGTACCTCGTACAAACATATTTATATTGTATATGTATATGTATATCATCATACATATATATATATACATGATATATGTACATATATATATAAATGTGTATATATATACATGATATATGTATATATGGTGCAGTGTTGGCTGGTCCCCCCCCCCCCAGGGGCCCCCCCCCCCTATACAAGGGGGGGGGGGGACCGTTAACACGGGACACGACACCATATATATATACATATATACACATACATACACATACATAGATGAGTGGAAACTCACTGCGACTGTTCTCCAGCATGATCCTTACTACAGGCTGGAATCGGAGAAAGCTGTGCTGCTCAACGAAATGCAGCAGATCCGCAGCAAGGCAGTTGGTCTGCAAAATGATTTGTGCATGGTCATAACGTGGGATCACTTTGGTGTACTTTGGGAACTTCGGTACCATTGGAGATATTTGTCGCTACCATCTGTTACACACACACACACATGTTTGTGTGGCTCTATGTATATATATATATATACACATATATATATATACATATATATATATACACATAAACATAAATACATAAATAAATCGATTCCAAAAACCATGATATTTTTAAGTACGACACTGGGTTGCTTTGTGTTTTTCCACATTTTGAGCCATTTTCGAAGGATTTCCACCACTTCATTTTTAAGATTCCGCTGGAATTGCCATCAGAAGTTTTCGCGGTGCCACAGGCTGCCACCGACCAGGAGGCATTGGGGGAGAAGATGCGGCAGCAGGCGGCGCGATAAGAAAATGTAGTCTCCAGTGTCATCAAACATAGATAGCTGGAAAATCCTCTATGAATGTTTCAGTGGGAAAATCCTTGAACTAAATGGAGGATTTTCCGACTACCATGTGTGATTACCAGAGGGTATCTGACATGTTGCATCAGCCGAACATGACGGTTTTTGGTTGCCTTTGAACTCTGCAGAGGAGAAGGAAGCTCAGAAGAAACTTGAAGAATTTAAACAGGAGATCCTGAACTTGTCGTGTAGCTTGTGATCCCTCAATGAAGGTCGTACACATATTGCAGGGTTAAAACTTGACACCCAGCCTTCAGACTGAACTTAGAAGGGTCCATAGTTGAGGTTGACAAGTAAGCCTGATAGCCACATTGCGCATTCCTGGATGGGAATGGAACTTCAAACTTGAATTGGCTTCAATGGCTTCAATCATTATCTGTTGCTTGAATTTTGAAGCCATCTGGCCGTGAGGATTTGATGCAACTGAGTAGCTGCAAGGAGCCGCTCTTGAGAAACCCTGTTGTCAAGATTTCTCGATAGCATGTCGTATCTTCGCATCTCATTTTTGGGCTACGGCCTTGTTTGCATTATCTGTAGAGTTTGCATCATTTGACATCATCTTGCATTTTTTGCCTCATTTGCATCATTTTGCGTCTGTTATACTGCACTCTAAAACTTTTTTGCCGGGTATCAGTGTTGCAACTTGATGTGTGTGTTTGCAGCAGCCGACACTGTATTTGTCCAGCTTCACATTGCAACTTGCTGAGTTTGATTTGGTTTCTGCCAGGACTTCGACATGGGTCAGGAGAAAAAAGCGGGGGAAGTTGAACACTTCTCGGTTAGACATGTTCATTCCTTCATTTCATCCTCGGATCAAGCTCCGTGGAATATGGACAGTGATGCAGAACAAGTGGATATGCACACCAGATGGTATTGCTAAGAGCAAATCCTTCGGATGAAATTTGTACATTCCATGCAGGTCATGGAACGTCAAGAAGTTGTACTCAGTCCTTTTGTTTGGCTGTGTGCAAAGGGGACTTTGGATTTGCCTGGTGTGCAGGAGGGATTCAAGTCACGTTGCTTGGACGAAAGTGACTAGTCATGACAGTAATTCTCTTGGTTTCCATTCGTTTTTTTTCCCCCCACTTGTGGAGTTTTTGGTAAACCGAGGTCAGCAGTCCGGTGAGTTGGATCGGCAAGGCCTGGGATCCCCTTTTCACCATATCAATCCATATCAGTTCCACGTCTTTGGAGATCCGGTATATGACAAGATATGGGGGTTTCCTGAGTCATAGGGGTACCCCCAAAATCATCTAGTTTAATTGGATTTTTCCATTATAAAATTATAAACCATCCATCTGGGGGTGCCCCATTTATGGAAACCCCCATATAGCAAAGCATGAAGGAGGCGTCCAGCGACCTGTGGTGTTGACCGTTTGGAGGTCCTCAGTTTCCAGCGCCTGGAGAGACTGAGTTGGTCTCTCCCATGGCGCCGAGCGTGCTCATTGCGGTGGAAATTGATCTTGGAGGTGGGTTTCATGTGCGTTGCAGCTGCAGTGAAGGCAACATGTTGGCACCACGTCTTGGTGAGGCTTAGAGTTTTTTTTAAAGTTTTCCTGTTTAGTTGCACAGCAATCTCTTGTAGTGACGCTGGATTGGCGCTTCGATGGTACTTTTGGGCAATCGCGTTGATGAGTGAACAGGCAGCGGGGACGACACCAACGGAGGCGCTTGTAATCGAGCAGGGGCCAAAACCACCAGTGATCACCACAGAGAGTTTCAACATAGCCCCTCATGCCCCACAGATAAATTGGGCATCGAGACCAAGTCTATATACACAGTCCAATGAGCTAGTATCGTTGCTGCACTTTGGCCTTTCTATTTTGGGATCCGGTTGGAAATCCTGCAGCATTCGCTTTTGTGGAACTTGGCTTTATCATGCTTTATCTCAACGGATCCAGCACGCTTTCAGGTGCGGCCACTCTGACCATTGCTCCTTGGCAAACAAGCTCTGATTACAAATTGGCACGACACTCAGAATGGGTGAAGCTTAAGGTTTGGGAAGGAAGTAGTTCAGACAGCTGCCGTTGCTGGACCTTGTTCTGCCATGATGACCGCCGCAAAAAGATTTCATGCTCACAAGCTTCAAATCGTAGTATGCCTTCAGCATGTCACTTTTCATAGTAAGCCCAGCATGGAACGGGGTGGGACAGCTTGTTTAACCCAGGTGGTTCAAGATTTCATCCACAACTACCGTTTGAAGCCCATCTTCGAAGAAGCGGTTGCTTGGAAGCAGCATTGGGGAAGCAACAGAACGCTCCAAGCTGGAATCCAAGAGAATCTGTTCACCAAGAAAGTCATCCAAGTAATTTCGAGATAATCCGAGTATGTAAGTTGTTGCGAGATTTGCAAGATCCTGAGACGTGCCACTGTGCCCACTGTCAGGTTGTTCGCTTCCTTCAGGTGCCCGGTGCAATGGCATGGGAACAATGCAAGTTGGGAACCGTGAGAGAAGCCCATGGGTCACGGTGAAAGTACATTGGCGCGTTGGCCATTTCTTCTGTTAGGCCAGCACACTCTCCTCATATTAGAAACTCTAGAGGTGCTGCCTAAGGCTAAATAAGATTGAATAAGTGGCATTCTGTAGCAGGAGCTGGAGAGAACTGCAACCACCCTCCCGCTCTTCCGCAAGGCGTGACAACTAACTGACGCACTTTTGACGTCTATTGGGTTTGTCTGAAAAGAGGGTACCTGAGAATCCCACAGGTGTATCATTTTCCTGATTTGATCAGTTATGTTGGGATGCACACCGATTTCCAGACCCCAGTTGGACCGAGGGTGGACTGACAATTGGGAAACACCAAACACCAGGCTTCGTTGGCAGAGATCTACCAGGAGTATGGCTGAGTGGCCACGTTTGTCCCAAGCTGTTGATGGTGGCCCCCTGGAGCGGGGTGAAGTTTCAAAAGGCCGCCATAACCAGAACTTTTGATCCCTGGTGGCAGCTGTACTTCCTTAGGAATGCGTCAGCTCCGGGTGATTTGGAGATATGGAGC